AAAACCATTAATGATCTGAATATCTTTAATTAAAATTAGAAATAAATCCCTGAAGGCAATTTAAAATATTATCAGCTCATCCTTGTCAGACTGAACATTTGTACTAAGTTTGAAGTTATTGGCTGTCACCAGCGTGGAAGCATTAAACAAAAACTAGAGTTTAAACTGTGGAATAGAAAGTTGAGAACTCTGTCAACAATTGTGGTACGCACTGGAAGTGTAAGAACTTGGTGAAAACCTAAGTGACAGTGGCTAAATGCGCCTTGCCATCTGCACATCTGCGAGGGATTCAGACTGTGCTTGTCAACCCCTTGCAACTATACCTATGTTGTGTCAAGTACTGTCCCTCTCATGCTGGCATCTTATCTGAAATGACAGAGACCGACAGGTGACAGCGAGCTAGTCTACAGAAGACCCTCTTGGGGTTTTTTTTTTTGTAACGTTACATTTGGGTGGCCTGGTTGCTTTTGTGGTCTGTGAATTAAGTTGAGTAATTTAAACATCACAAACGGAACCAGGCCACCTAAATCAATTCACTGACACAAACAGGACAAATTTATAACATCTGAGGGACAGAGTAAAGTTCTGTAAAGTTCTGGCTACTAGCAGCAGTATATACATGATAGAGAAGATGACAGATGCTCATCTCAAAGGTCAAAGTCTTTCTGCATCTGTCTTAGAAACAATAATCATGATGACTGAGAATGCATAATACATCATACTTTCTGTTTTTTGCGTGCTCTCGACAAACAGTCTAGTGCAAGCTTGGATGGCTGCTCTTATCAATATTACAGAGGGAGAACAAGGAAATGCTTTAGTTCTTTTAATAGCCTCAATACGACACAGGGGATCAGCTACCTCACGAGTTTACCTAAAAAGCCCCAGAAAGTAAGAGCTTTAAACAGAATGAGGCAATAACATCAAGAGCTATCAGAGTCTAATGAAAGCCTCTCGTACACGCTATATAACAAAAAGTATTGAAAGAGAGCTGGGGGGTGGAGAGAGCCGTCCCTATCCAACGGGTTGAGCCTCCGTCACTGTCAGCATTAAGCTTCAAATCTCACTGATGCCATACCTATGTTGAATATGTAAAAAGTACACAAATAACTGAACAGTCAAAGAACCTGGTAAACCTCAACAGAACAAGTTGACATTCTGAGGATGGAAGAGAGAGGAGAGGAAGAGAAAGAGGAGAAGAGGAGACAAAGTCGTGTTAAATACTATTTAATCCTGCACACTAGCTGATCTTAGAATAGGATGATGACATAATAATCCTTAGTCCTTAGTGTTTTTTTTCGGTTTAATCTCCATCTTTTTCCACAGGATTCTTTCTTGATGAAAACCCTCGATGTTATGTAATCAGTAGGGTAATACAGTCAGCGGACATTTGTCAAATGCAGTACAGGAGACATGGAGGACATCCATATTCTTTATGTGTCAGACTTAAAAAAACTTTGCATGGAGCCATGAAAAAATAAGAGCAACTAACATTCCACAGGAGCTTCAAAAGCCATTTCATGTTTTCAAGAACATTTCCTTAAAACTCAGCTGATACTGTTTCAGCAACTTTAGCTGAGTGTATCTAGAGGGCAACATGTTTAATTAAAAATGAATTAACTATTAATTAACCTCTGTATGCAGGGTACCTACTAGGGTTAGGAGATTTCAAGTTAACTGGCATTTGACAATGTATGCAGTGAAACATGGGGATGGGCGATGCTGACGGAACAGAATAGGGGTTCAGTATCTTGACCAAGGCCACTTCAGCATGCAGAATGCGGAAGACAGGGACAGATTTTCTTACTTTCCGGTTAGAGGTCGACCCTGAGCCACAGCCGCCCCCAATGAATTTGTACAGCATTGAAGACACTGACTCTGAGAAGCTAAAAATACGTTTAAACTGCAGCGGGTTAGAGACGTTAAATGAGTCAAAGTCTGTGTGAGTCTGGGTGAGAGAGTGAATGAGAGAAAAAGTAAGTGAGCCTATATTCAATTGTAATACGATTATATATATTATAATATAAAATAAGTGTCGAGTGAAATTATAAAATAATTACACAGATAAACAAACAGAGTGACATAGAAAATAGACTTAATGGGCATAACATAGAGCAGCAAAGGTCAAGGAGTTGTGAATCTATTACTTTAAGTAGGGTATGTGAAGGTATTCATTGAGTTCGGAATAAGCAAAAAAATAGAACATGTAAACGTATTTCATGAACAAAAAACTATTTCATGTTGTGGGAAGTGGAGGACATTGCAAACCGGAGGGGTGAGTAAAAGCTAAATTGACATTAAGGTTGGGAGAAAGAGTGAATATACATTACACAAGTTAATGAAAGACGAGCAGGTGAAAGGGAAGAAAAGTTACACAGGATCCCAGTCATCCTTTGTTTGCTCCAAAACGACATGGATTTTTTGTGTGAACTAATGTTACGTTTTGATATTTGTGATGTCAACTACAATTTAGTCATAATTTAACCTGATGAATGATTCATGTTTATTGTTTATATTTTTTGTAGAGATGAACAAGGAGATCCATTTGTGGAATTTGGTAAAACTGTAACTGATTAAATCAATGGCGTTGGTGCAGTGGTAAACACAGTTGCCTCACAATAAGACAGTCCTCCTTAAATNACTTATAGAGTTACATTTATTCTTAAGGAGACAAATCAGCAAAATAAAATGACAAAATCAATCGAAAAACAACACTGCTTGAAGATGTGGCATTTGCAGTGGCTGCCACTAATCTGTAGGACAGCTTACATATCCATATCAGAACCCCCTCGGATCCTAGAAACATTTCAATCATTGCTTAAGACCCACTTCCCTCAATGCCTTTCAATTTAATCTGAGTTTGAGACCTTGATTTCATCTGCTATTGTGTAATAACAGTTAAATTCTGAATGACTCAGCCTCATCTACAAACAGTTACTTGTTTAAATGATTATTCTTTTTATGTTTTTACACTTTCCTTGTAGATATTTTGTGAATTTCTGCCGTCATGTGAAGGGACTTCATTTTTGAAAACACTTTAGTGCTTTGGTCCTAAGTCTCCATATTAGAGCACAGAAAGAAAAAAAACTGTGACACAAGAGGAAACAAACTTGGAAGTCGGGTCTGAAGGTAAATGATGTGTGACATAAATAGTGAATGAAGCTGTCTTTGAAACACACACACACACACACGGTGACAAACACTTACTTTGCTATGAACAGGGCATGCACCTCACCCCTGCATCAGAGTGCTTGTGTTTTTAATTCCCTTCAGTCTGCACAGGCAAACAAGCTGAGATGGATTTGTACCGGGCACCATGGCAACGCGTGGGGCTATTCTCCATCACTGTGGCTGAGGAAAGAAAGAAAAAGAAAGAAAGAGAGCGAGTTCAACAGCAATGATTTTCATTCTGCGTTTTACTCGATGAAAAGCTACACACACACATTCACTAGTGAATATATTGTCAATCGACGGCTGTTGAAATTGAGTAAATGCAGCTCAGTGTCAAACGGATTGATTTAAATGAAACATGAATGCAAACAAACACACAAATTGAACTTTTATACTTAAGTTAAAACTACTGTTACACTGCAACACGTGTAATCATGAACTCAAAACAATCTACGACGCTGGAATGAAAACTTAGTGTGTTACTGATCACTTAGGTCTGAGGATAAGGATCACTTGATTTTGAGTACTGCTTGATGACTACATTTTCTATTTTATTCATGTTAAACTACTGCAAACTAGGATTACAACAGTCCCTATCTTTTAATTTATCATTTATTGTATTTTAATTTTGTAGCCTGTGTTGAAAAGTAATGGCACATTTCAGTGACAGTCACAAAGGTTTTTCAGTGTGAAATCTAAATATATTGAACTTATGATTTAAAGGACAAAAAAGTAAAAGTAAATCCAAACATTGAATAAAAATCTAAGCCGCAAATACTTGGCATTTATTATTAGGTTGAAAGAAACTTATGTTATAATGTTAATTTGAAAGGAATGTAAATGATGATTTTATGATTAAGTTTCTGGTGAAGACAGATAAAATGTGGGGTTACTGGATAGAGACATGCTTTACTATGATTGATGTTCTATTTAAGATGATCAGATACAAAGATACAAATGTTAAACTTGATTGCTGGATTAATGCCGATGTTGGTGTAGAAACTTAATTCAAATTTTTTCATAATATTAGTACTACTTATATTTTACTTTATTTGCATGTATAATTGTATTTGTGTATGTTTATTATTGTCGACAAAACACATTTTTTTATTATTATAATAAAAAAAAGCTTCCCTCAAAATAAACTGACTCTGATTTCTACTATGTAATAGTAGAAAAAATTATATTTGTTTGCTACACAGTGCTATAGTTTACTTTAGTAAAAGTGCGGTGGCCGAGAGAGCTCTACGCACTGCAAAATAAGAAAATACATGTAAATAGAAAAAGACATGAGCAAATGAAGACAGCCACTTCATCAATTTGAAGACACACGTGCTGCAAAAAGTCACAACACGTGCGAATAACAAAACCACACCGGAAATGTTTCCAGGGGACCCAACAAAGTGATGAACCTGGCTGTAGTTCAATCAGAGTTCAATGCTTTTTGGGGTGAAACATTTCCGGTGTCGTTGTCGCTACCTGCGGCACGTTTCTGTATTTACTTGTGTCGTGAATTTATGTTTGATGAAGTTGTTTTCTTAATTTGCACGTGTGTTTTCTACTTCCACGTGTTTTCTTAATTGGCAGTGCATTGAGCGCTCTCGGCCACCGTATAAAAGAGAACTAAAAGACTATTTTAGACACAAGACATGTCCCTTCCACAGAACTGAACTCATTTGCAGCAGAGTCCAACCTTTAACACACTTCGCACGATGTTTCACACCGTAACTCTGTGTAAAGGAGAAATATGGACGCCAGCTTAAAATGATGCTACATGAGCTAATAGGAAGTGACTTACCTTCTGCGTCCTCTCTCTGTGATTCCTCGTTTAATCGTCTGGAGGAAGTTGAACTCACTTTATCGTTTTTATCACTTAGAACTTTGTGCGATGATAAGTATTTAAAAAGTGACGCTGCAGCTTCACTAATGAACCGACCGCGTCATCGTCACCTGCTGGGCTCTGGCAATCGCGCGTGACGTCATCACGCAGCGACAACGAGGAAGTGCAGTCGAGCGTCCTTCAGTGCGCCCGGTGCTGCTGCTGCTGGAAGTCTTGTTGTTGTCGCCGTCGCAGCGGAGTTTCTGTGATTCCTCTGGTTTTATGGAGTGACAGCAGCGAACAGCAGAGGAGATCCACCGGAGAGGGTTCAAACCTGTGACCCAGTGAGTGCGTTCAACCTCAGCTGCCATCAGTTTGCTCTCTGTTTGGATAAGCTAGGCTAATTGTTTGCAGCTAAATGTCAAAGTGAGCCTGACACACAGATGCTAAGTAGATGTAGATGTTGGTGTATTGTGGATGATGCAAGGACGTGAAAGCACCATGAATATACAGTAACTAAGAGTAAACCCAGAGTATAAAGAAGCAGCAGGTTTCAAATAATGAAGTGACTGTACTGGTTAGCATAGCACAGGTCAGTGTTAGATAAAACTTTAATGATCCACACACCGGGGAGATTCAGTCGTTACAGCATCAGGCAGCTGAATGAGGTAGACTACAGATATAAAATAAAGGCAATAGAATAAAGGAAATGCTGAGTATGTTCATTATATACACCTTTCACTGTTGTGGTTTGTGTAGAAGTGTTATAAAAGTGCAGTGGCACAGGAGGATTGCAAGAGCAGGTATAAAAACATTGTGTGCATAAACAGAGGGACATATTGTGATTTGCAGATGACACAAATGTGCAAAAAGTTATTTTCTGTTAGAAATAGTGCGAATAGTATGAATAGAGTGACAGGAGGAAAAAAAGAAGTGTAGTATTTTATTTTCATTTGGGATGGTGCTGTAGAGTCTGACAGCAGTGGGAGTGAAGGACCTGCACACGTTTTCCCTCTTGCATTGTGTATTCGTGTGTGTTACTTTGTACTGTACCTGCTTGTTCATTATGGTGTTTTTGATGCAGTTACTACAGCTCCTGTATTGACTCATCCTGCCCTGTCGTGTGTGAAGTCCCTCCAAGACTCAGGTAGACATGGCAGCTCCAAGTTCATCAGAGAGAAAGGCCTGCTGGGATGCCAGGGACCTGCTGTGGAAGTGTCTGGATGACAAAGACGACAAAGCAGCTGCCTGCCAGAACTTCCAGAGCGAATTTGAGGCGAAATGCCCCGCGCAGTGGGTAAATTATCCTCTTTCTTTTACCCTCTGTGAACTGTCAAATCCTGGGGTTTACATTTAAGACAGAAAAAAAGACATTGAGCAGTCCCTGCTTGAAATCTGTGTAATTCAGTTGATAAAATTGAGCTTCAGGTCTATCGTAGGACTGTTTCTCATCTTCTCTGTTTTTCACCGCAGGTGAAATATTTCTCAAAGAGGAGAGACTACTTGAAATACAAGGAGAAAATGCAAAATGAAGGCTTCACACCTGCCCAAGGCCCCCGCCAGCCATCCTAACAACTGGAAATCAGACGGTGAAAATCTGCAGACTGAATGGCTCTTCACACTCATTCAGGGCTGGGAGAGTAGTTTTGTACCGTTACTGTGGAGAGAATACCTGTACTTCACCTTTGTTATTTATTTGTATAGAGAAATAAGGTGCAGCAGGACAGCATACAGAAAAATAACTCCAAATGGCAGCGACTTGTGGCATCACTAACATTGACATATTTTGTACGAAAGGAAAGCTGAGCAAAGTCAACTGTCAATTATGTTATTTTGTCAGGGTGGACAAACTTCAAAATTAAGAATTAGACAGTAATCCTTCTGATTAATGCCTTACATATCTCTAGATGTACAGTACACACTCATACTGGATCTGTGTGCGCACTCATCTTAATACAGTACATGATTTTTCTGTGATTTTGTTGATTGAAACCAAAACCTCCGGGAGAGGAGGTTGGCAGCAATTGTATAATGTCTCCAGAGGAGAGAGTGGCTCTGTGGTTTGGGTTGAAGTTTTTGTGCTGTCAAATACATACGAAGCCTTGATAATGATCAAGGTTTTTAGGGGCAAGATCTGAAAATCTGATGTTTTTCTGTGAATAAATAAAAGAAACTCAGTGTTTTATGTGATTTTTGTTTTATTGTTGTTGTACATGCATAATGTTGTATCATCCTAAATGGAGTCTCTGAGATGGATACAAATGAGACATCAAGGTTTAACACATAATTTAGGAATATAACAACTCATTTAGAAACAGTCGAAGGCACGTTATCTTTATATTACAAATCTGTATGTATTTACAAAGAAGTGTGGGCGCTGGGTCAAAGATCACCGCTGCAACACCACCGAGATGTATGAAACCTTCAGCAGAACTGAATAAATTACAAAAGAAAAATGTAGGCTTCTGATTCTGCCTACAGTTATAATAAAATAAAATAAGATTTGTGTAAAAATACAGTATCAAGCATTTCTTTGACATTTTTTTGCACAGTACAGCAAATGTTATGTGCAAAACCTTTTCATCGACAGAGCACAGTTACTGGGATGTGATGGCTGATTGGAGAAACGGCTGCACCTCACAACCCTGTGCTCACTCGCTCTAAATACTTTGGACTCTGCATTCAATACAACTCGGAACTTGCAAAGATTCTGCAGGTTCCCAAATCTGCCTGAGGAAAAGTAACACTTCCAAGGGGGAAAAAATTCAAACCAGATTTGCCCTGCATTTCATAAAAAAAAATGTTTTTGTGACAATTATTCAAGCTATTGATGTTTGATAAAAGGTGTGTTAACGTGTTTTCTGCAACAGGCAAATGCAGAACTTCCTTTTCATTGATAAATATCATTACATGGGCATTACTCAGGACATTTTCTCAGATTTCATGACTTTATCGTCTCATTGAAAAGCAGTGTCTGACAAAAACAGGAAGAGTCAAACCCTGCTGCATACAAACAATAATGGCAGGAGTGTATCTAACCTCTTCAGCCTTCCAAACTGAAACATAAGAAAAATAATATGCTTCAGAGGCACAGGAAAGCTCAGAAATCCAGTCAAAATAAAATGCATTTTACTGTAATAAGGCAACCAACCCCAGACTTCCTATGGCCGACAGCCAACAGCTATATAGCTCAAAGAAAAAAGCATTGTATCGCTCTCCACAATTTAAGGAGGATGGCAGTGAACCATTCCTTGGTTCTTGCACTGCTCCGCAGGCACAGCAAGGCACTAACACAGTGAGAGGTTGAATTCCCACAGGAGACATTCATGTTGCAATTGCATCACAGGCATCTGGTAACAAGCTGTGGAGCATATCTATGTTCACAGTATGACAGTGAAGAAGAATCAGCTTTGGTAAACACATCGGTCTGATATTAGGAGACACAGATTTCCAACTAAAAACGTAAATAGCAGCTACAGACATCTATGGACTGTATTTGCTTGCAGTTGGTTTCAGTTTGTAGCTGAATATACACAAGCTTTTATCTCTATAGATACCAATCATATAGACTCTAATGAAAAGATACTGGAGACTGTATAAAAGCAGCCACATCAAAACACCCTTTTCATGCATTTATCTTCTTTCAGTGTCGCACTCAGCTCTTTTTTTAACACTGTAACCTCAGTCCACCAATTGTGTGATCTGGTTAAACATCAATACATTTAAGTGCAGCAGGAGTTCAGCAAGCACACAGTGAAAAGAAGCTTGTGCAAGGCCATTTGGCTTATTTCTACCAAAACGACTCCACAGAGGAAGGCATGAAGTGGCTCCAAAACACTTTCCAGGCAGCCATAAAGATTACTTATCATTTTCCTATCATAAATCACTAAATCAGTTACAAATAACACTTCTTGATCAACTCCTAGATCTCCTCAGTGATTCGCTGAGAGCAGGATTGCCATCAAAGATTAATGGAGGGTAAAGAAAAGTTTTTGCTGGAGGTCAGAGCTCCACCTAGTGGCAAGTTTCACGTAATGCATTCCTTGTGACACCAGCTTATGGATAAAAATGTATTTCTAATTTTGAAATCTAAGAATAGCGTAGTGTTTTTATCTCTCCTTTTCCTCTCCTCCTTCCCTCTGTCCATGTCCCGTCTAATCGGTCTAAGAAGGGGCTAAACTCTGAGTGAGACCATCCTCTCGGCACAACATGTGCCATTCTCTCATCAAATCTCTCTCTCTTTCTGTCTCTCACTGATTGATCCCCCTCTTCTTCCCATGTAGGCCCCATCATCACACCGGTGGTTATAAGCTCCCGGTGACATTCCTGGCCACTGCCCAGGCTGGGAACTCGGTCAGGTTGAAGAGGGGAGCGCCCCACGTGGTTATGGCCAACATTACCACCGCCACGCCGATCAGGTTCACCCCGAAGCCTGCTTTCACCTGGAGGAGAAAAAGGGAAAGCAATGATGTAAAGACAAATATACAAACCGAATAGAAATACTCTATAAAATGTAAGCTTTTAAAAGTTTCCGCTTTAGCTTTTTCAGTTTGCAAATAGTTAAGAAATTAAAGAAATCTTCAATCTTCTGGTTATGTAAAGTGACTCTTTGTACCCTTGAGCCTTTTGACGCTGCAGGTGCACAGAGAGCATGTGACTTTGAGTGTGTGTGTGTGTGTGTGTGTGTGTGTGTGTGTGTGTGTGTGTGTGTGTGTGT